GACCCTCACACTCAACCCTAAACCCTAAACCCTAAACCCTAAACCCTAAACCCTAAACCCTAAACCCTACACCCTAAACCCTAAACCCTAAACCCTAAACCCTAAACCCTAAACCCTAAACCGTACTGGAACTCTTAGGCTCCAAAAGTAACCCTTGGCCCTTGAAGGAACCTTGAACCCCTAAACCCTCAACCCCTAAAGCCTGACCCCTAAACCCTAACTACAAAACCCTAAGCCCGAATCCGGAAATTCAGAAACTCCACAGCCTAAACCGTAACGGTTTAGGGTTTGAGGTGTAGGGTTTAGGAAGCAACCTTGAATGTGAAAAGAGAGGACTCTTCGAGGGGCTCTCTGCCAATGCCTCTTACACGGTGCACCTCGGACTCTACATTATGGCCGAAACTCTACGCCCTCAGCCCTCGACTTATCGACTTAGAGGAGGCCCTAAAAGGCTGTAGACCCCTCTCAGGCCTGAACACCTCGAAACGCTTCAGGACGCATGTTTTCCCGAAACCCCTTCACACCCTATCGACTCCCAGTAAATCCCAGAACTCTAAAACCCAATGAATCCCAGACCTCTAAAACTTAGGTTCGTGGAAGTCGAGGGTGGAGGTCACAAGCTGCGTTCGCGGGAGATTTCGATCCCTCAGCGGGCCAGCCTGCCGCCTGAAACCGTGCAACGAGGGCTTCTATTTGTTTCAAGAAGGGCTGTGGATCTAGGGGTTTTATGATGTAGGGTGTGAGGGTTTTGGTCGAGGATGCGTTTGTTGAAGAGCTTTATGGAAATTCTATAGGATGTGTAAAAGAGCTTCCAGACTAACTTCCGGGGTGCTGAACAAGGAAGCTGTTGTTGTTTCTGTCTTTTGCACGGGTTTTGTAGGTAGTTTACAAGAGTTTCATTCAGCGCCGTTAAAGTACGGCTTCAAAATGCGATGCTTCTTTTGCCTCAAGCAAGTTCCCGGTACCGAAGGGTGATGAGTAAGGCCCTCTAGAGGACTGTGCATGCATCAAGTAAGGTGATGAGGTGTTTTCTTTCTTGGGCTGTAGAGTGTGTTTGTGTACATTAATATATTATACCTACATCATCATCAACAGCAGCAACAGCATCATCACGGTGATACTATTATTGTTGATATTCGTCACAACACAAAAATCATCACTGGCACCAGCTATCATAATGCTAAAGTTGTGTTCAAGGCCAAGGCGATAATATGTGTATTCACTCATAAGGACCCTTAGCGGGGTCGGGGGGAGGGGGCAAGGGGCCGTAATACCTGTAATAAGGACTTGATAATGTTTATTTAAGGAAGAACTGATCATCCCCCTAAACCCAAACCCCTAAACCCTAAACCCCTAAACCCTAAACCCCTAAACCCCTAAGGGTTGATGACCAGAAGCTCGCAGCTTCAGCTGTAGACCCTTTTGACGACCTACAATCAGGGTTTAGGGTTTAGGGTTTAGGGTTTAGGGTTTAGGCATTCTAGACCCATAGGCCCCAATAGGATCTAAAAAATAGATCCCCTAAGGGGGTTCCTATAAAGTACCCTGTAGTAGTTAGGGTCCAAAATTAGGGGATCTATTTTTTAGATCCTTTTGGTGGTCTGGGCAGCAAGGCGAATGATGATATAGCAACCTAAGCAAGAAACCTTGGGTCTTTATTAGGGCTCTTTAGGTCAACGGTTTAGGGTTTAGGGTTTAGGGTTTAGGGTTTAGGGTTTAGGGCTCTTTATATGGGTAGTTTTTTTCTCAATCAGGGGCCCTTTCTAGGTCCCCAATATAGTACGGCACCCTGATAAAAAGGATCCCAAAAGGGACCCTATTTTAGAGAATTACCTATGTGGATCCTAAGTAGTATTTTTGGGGTTGCGGGGTTTCTTAATCAGGTTCCGACATTAGGGTGCAGGGCTTCGGGTTCAGGGGTTATGGCTTTTTGCAGTTTGGGCGTATATGTGAGGACTCGGTTTTCCGTATCATGCGGCCCCTGTTTCTGCCCCTTAATTGAGGCGCCGCATATTTTCTGCTCATAAGTAGTATTGATTTGCTAGCTCGTATTGCAGGGTATATATGATGAGATATACGGGTAGTTCTTCAAATTTGGGTAGCACTTGTGCAGTGGGGCTCTCCTCTTTGTAAAGGAACCTCAGAGCTAAGCATGGTTCCTTGCGTGCGTGCTGCTCATGATATGGGCCAGCTTGCGCTGGAGTGATGCACAAAGGATGACGATATCTAGCGAGCTTTCAGACGCCGAATCCATGCGGGGGTGGTGCTGGCGAACTAAATCCTCTACTTCGGGTATGGCGTGGGGCTGCTTGTCCTCGATCCGGAAGGAACAAGACTTTCTCTTAGCAGGTCCAGGCGGGAAGCCGTTGCACTACAGTACAGCTCTCGCCCAACTTCGCAGATGCTTGGTTACCTATGCTGGCATAGAGACTAAGGACGCGCGGATGTTCTCCATGCACAGCCTAAAGTGTACACTGCTTTGTCGGGGAAACCAGCTGCATCTTCGTCCGTGTCCCATCCTCGAAACCCCCACCCCGAAAGCAGGGTTTAGGGTTTAGGGTTTGGGGTTCAGGGTTTAGGGTGTAGGGTTTATTAGGGTTTAGGGTTCTAGGGGTTTGGGTTTTGGGTTTAGAGTTTGAGGTTTGGGGATCAGGGTTTAGGGTTTAGGGTTAAGGGTTTAGGGTGTATGGTGTTGGGTTTAGAATTCAGGGTTTAGGGTTTAGGGTTAAGGGTTAAGGGTTTAGGGTTTAGGGTTTAAGGTTTAGGGTGTAGGCCAAAAAGTTGGAAACCAAATAGCCTCCATCCTGAAAAGTAATTCCCAGCACTAATTGTCCTTAATTCGGTTTCCAACTTTTTGGGGCTTACTATATCACTAAACCCTGGGGACCTAGCTACCTATACTTTCACACACACACACACACATGAGCCAAGAAAATCACACCCCCAAACCCTTAAGAAGCTTCATCCCAGACCCTAAACCCTAAACCCTAAACCCTAAACCCTAAACCCTAAACCCTAAAAGACCCGAGTAGACTCCTCATATCTGCCTGTTGCAGCCCCTGTAACCCTTCGGTACCCCTTCAAGGCCCCCTTAGACTTCATATCCTCAAGCCTAAAACCCGTAGATAGGGTTTGGGGTTGAGGGTTTAGGCTTGCCCCTAAACCCTAAAACCTAAGACCCTAAACCCTAAAACCTCAAAACCCAAAACCCCTAAACCGTAAAACCTAAACCCTAAACCCTAAACCCTAAACCCTAAAAGCCCCAAAGCCCTAAACCCTAAACCCTAAAACCCTACACCCAAAACCCTAAAAGCCCCAAAGCCCTAAACCCTAAACCCTAAACCCTAAAAGCCCCAAAGCGTCGCTGAGACGAGGCCCGGGGAACTGGCAGCCGCACGAAGTCCAGAGTTGGGCTCTGACGTTGAGGGTGTCCGAGCCTTAGACATCTTAGTAGGGAATGGGGGTTAAGGTCCCTTATAGTAGTCCCTATAACCCATTCCCCCATTCCCTACTAAGTTGAGGGTGTCCGAGCCTTAGACATTTGCTTTGGGGTTTAGGGGTTTAGGGTTTAGGGTTTAGGGTTTAGGGTTTAGGGGTTTAGGGTTTAGGCTTTAGGGTTTAGGGTTCAGGGGTTTGGGGGTTTAGGGTTTTTAGGGTTGAAGGATATTAAGGGTCTAGGGTTTAGACTGTAGAGAGTGTCCGAGCCTTAGAGATTTGTTTTGGGGTTTGGGGTTTAGGGTTTTTAGGGTTGAAGGATATTAAGGGTCTAGGGTTTAGACTGTAGAGAGTGTCCGAGCCTTAGACATTTTTTTGGGGGTTTAGGCTTTAGGGTTTTTAGGGTTGAAGGATATTACGGGTTTAGGGGTTTAGGGTTTAGGGTAGTGTCCGAGCCTTAGAGATTTGTTT